TTTTGCATGGATTAACAAGATATATATGTATGCGGTCTATTGATGAATAGGAAATATCCACTGTGATAGTGGGAGGGATGTATCTGGATAATAATGTACAAACACAGGACTGGAGATAAGAAGGCGTTTGGCGTGCGCAATGTGCAACACCGTTGTTCACTGCTGCAAAAGGGCAACAAAAGAGCAAGCGAATCGGAATACGGTCCAGTTGGATCCCCGTTGAAGCAGCGAAACGGTCATGAAAAGAAAGAAGCCAATCGATGTTGTGTGAATGAATGAATGAATGAATGAATATNAAGGAATGGGAGGTTGCAATCACACCACTGCATAGACGAAAGACTTGATTATTTTTACAAACCGGAAAAACGTGTACAACCACAACCACACGACACACTCACAGTCAGACGGGACAGCATGCATGATCATCAGTCACATCGGAACTATGGTCTGTGTACAAATTGAATTGAGGGAGAGAGAGAGAGTACTGCTCAACAGAACCACCATTCGTTAAAATGTGAATGAAGTACCGTGGCCGCCGGGGGAGAGTAAGCAGCTGCGATGGATAAAAGCAGCGTCAAATCATCCGCGGAACATCTGTCAGAGAATGATGAAAAGAGCAATAGGCGGTTAGCGCCTTGACAACTTGACAATGAGTTGAACAGATGAACAACAATCGAGGATAACCGAATGACAAAACAAAATGGCTCTGTCATCATGTAACCATCTGCATACAGACACCGTTCAATCAGTAAAAAATCACCATAATCACGGTACACTGCGATAGAACGGCATCAGAATTACAAACCCAATGTATCGGATACAGTTTTCAACGAACTGAGGATAGTTTGTGTGGGAAATCCATTCATGCTGATAAGAAACCATCAGTTTTGGTGTACAAATTGTACAGTGTGTTAGTTCCATTTTATGTCTAGCAGTGCGCTCAGACGGAGCATAAATGTGGTGAAAAAAACATCAAGAAGCAAAAAGAATCCTGAAGGGAGGTGAACTACAAACATCACCACTATTTTACTGTAATTTTCCTGTCATGCCTCCGAAAGCCTCACGAAATGCTCCCATAAGACCAAGCAACTCAAATAGCCTCTATTGAGGAAGCCCTACTCACTGCCTTCTCGTGGAGGAAGTTTTCGCTGGAGGACGAATAGCCGACATCCGGGGCTATGACCGGGTTGGTGAACCACTGGCAGTTCACCTTGGGGGAGTTGGCCCAAAACCCTGATTCCAAAGGAACCAAGAGGAGGCGTACGAACCAAACACCCTCCCGGTTGTGATCACCGACTCGATTGGGCACCTTAGATGTTTGACCCCATCCGAAGGGCGCATGATCCGATGAACTGGACACCGGCCTCCAATGGATTGCGGTTTTCACACACCGTCCGACTGCCTTGCGGGTCAGGCTTTGGCTAGCCTAAGGCTCCGATTGTGAATTCCCCAAGAAAATTCACCTGCATTGGCCTGGGCAACCTGGCAGTATTTGGCTAACATGCAAATCATAGAACGCTTTTTCTTTTCATAACGAATATTGTACCCGGATTTGCTTGGCATAGTCTGACCTCAGACGTGTGCGAAATACAACTCTGTCCTGCATTAAAAATCTTGAAACTGCTCAAATGGTGGCACTCGCCGTTATCCACCTCATCAATTGCTTCGGTAGCGTAATGACACACAGAACCTATTGCTTCGTTTATCATTCTGCGTTCAAGCTGACCTTAAATTTATTCCAACACTCAACCAATTACAGAGAACTGGCAAATGTGCCACAACATATTAACAGAAAGAAATCTGAAGAATGCAACTTCCTTAAATGTGAGATCACTAATGCGTATGGAGCAAGAAGTAAGTATGGTTCGTACACTCGAATGCCCAGGGAATGGTCTGTTTTATACACACTCCAGATCCGAGCTCAGTAATCCGACCAAGAACTCCTTCAAGCCTAGAAGACTGGCGTGAATACAGTTAAAGGTAGCATTTACTATCGCTTATATGGATTTCTTCCCAAATCAGCGATGGTCAAGTGGTTAACGTAATCAAATCCATAGTTCGAACCCCACCGCATTCTCCGATAGCCATTTTATAGCCGCGGTCCCCTTCCGGAAAGTTGGCTGTAAATTTGTATACCCAATATATAACTGCCTCGTCCACGTTCCGCTTGTCTCGTTCGGTGCACTAGGCTAGGGGCCGATCCCGAGTCAATCAATGCACCAGCGAACAACACATTGAACCGAAACCCAAAGACCTTGCGTGACAGGTCTCTAGTAGCTCCCACACGGGTGATTTGGTCACGCGCCCGCTTTGGATCTCGCCCTACTGCCTTATGGGTCAGACTTTTGAGTCAAAGGCTCAGTGTTCCCAAAGAGAAACCCCTTCGTCGGTGAGGGCTACCGCAAAATATATCGCATCCCAAAGTTTTAGGTACACATTTAGAAAAACCCCTTTACCATTTTGCCAGTTCTTCCTCTCACTCCCAAATCTTAGGAAATACCTCCTGTTTGCGCCACCCAGGGGATAGCCCCAGACAGTGGCGCTCGTGCATCAACTAAATATTCTTGCAACCTCAATCTGTATGAATTTTCTATCTTCCCCTTGAATTTGCCCTCAACATTCCAATTTTCATTCTGCTTTCATCCAAGGGGGCGGCCAAAAGTCAGCAACAAAAACCGGAGCAAGAAAGTGCATCGTTAATA